AAAGTATATATATATATATATATATATGATAATAGCAAAAACAGGGTTAAGACCATAGAGAACCATAACAAAAAGAGCACCATCAAATAGTTAATTGATACAAAAGTTCACAAACATAGAATGACCAATATCATCTTGATTTCATATTTAATTTTCTGGTTGATATGATTCTTAATCCTTTTGATATGGAAGAAATTAACATGGAAGGAATTTCATTTCATCCAACTTTGGCATCAGGGTGGTATAAGAAATTTCAACAAGCTTGCTCATTATCGTAAATTTGTAAAATGTTTTATTCTTGGGCAATGTTAGAACCGCTTATTAGCAAAATTCGTACGGTAAAATAAATTAAAAAAAAAAAACAGAGATAAAATTTAGTGAGAGAAGCTCTGTGATTTCACTATATTGACAAGAAAATGCTGACAAGACTATAAGAGTTGAATTCTCAAGACTTTGTGTGCCAAAAACCTCCCTTTAATCTCCTATTTATATGCTCAAGTGAGAGTTTGGGTGTTACAAGAAAAACATCTTTTATGCTAGAAAAATGATAATAAAATTCATCAAAGTACATGAGGCATGCAATCTAAACTAGATAAGAGTATATGAAAAAAATTATCTTAAAACTACTTCATAAAGTTGCCAACTTGATGGCAAAAGTTATCAACTTGATGAAAGAAGTCATCAACTTGTTGGAGGAAGTCATCAACTTGTATGAATGAATGTAGGGGTGTTAATTTCGGGTCACGGGTCGGGTTCGGGTCGAATTCGGAATTGATCCGGGTTCAAACAGGTCGACCCCTAACCCGACCCAGGTAGACAAACGGGTCAGAAATCTGAACCCGAACCCGACCCGGCTGGTTGCCGGGTTGACCCGACCAGACCTGGAATTTGGGTTTTGTCGGCGGACGGCGGGCGAAAGCGAGGGCTTGAGCGGGTTGGGCAGGGGCAGCGCGTGGCCGCATGTGGACAGACGACGTGCGAGGGCGTGGCCGCGTGGCCGCATGCACGCGCGTGTCCGTGTGGCGTCGTGGCCTCGTGGGCACAGCGGGCAGCGGGCTGGCCAGAAGTGAGCCAGGGCGTAGGGCAGTGGGTAGCGGGCAGGGGCAGCGGGCGGGAAATCCGGATTTTTTAAATTAAATGGGGTTTCGGGTCGACCCTGCAACCCGCCGGGTCAACCCGAACCCGACCCGTTTTACAAACGGGTCAAAATCTCTAACCCGAACCCGAATCCGGGTTCGCCCAAACCCGAAATTTTCGTGTCGGGTTCGGATCGGGTTTTCGGGTCGGGTCAAATGTTGATAGCTCTAGATGAATGCAGGCAAAGTATGTTCTTTTGAGTTTCACTTTGAGCCTAGTGAGTTTACGATGGCTATGTCAAGTTCATCATTTTTATTCATTCTTATTTTGCCAATTTTGCTGTGAACCAATTTGACCTTGTTTGGATATATGGATATATATTTAGTTCCCTAATTTTCTTATTTCATGGATAAATTACTAATGATATATCAGTAAAAAATTATCTTGACCGAGCATGAATCTCGAGGCAAAAATCGAGTTGAAAACTTCAAAAATTAAATATGGGATCATCTGAACTCCGATTTCAGCAAACTTATAGTCGAACCAATCGTCTCGGAAAGACGAACCCAACGACACCAAATTGAACTCTATCCATGTGATGCCCCAGAATCAAATAGTGAAAGGATTAATCAGAGAGAAACAGTAAGGGAACGAGGTCTCACAATCCAAGCCCAAATGGGACCAAATAAAATACCCGAAGCACATTCGGAAGGTTCAATCCATAATTTGGGTTACTAAACGGCTTCCAAAAATGGCATGCTTATAATCGAATCGAGATGCTTGACGAGATGAATCCAACGATCCTAAGATCGCCAAATTCTGACATCATTAAGACCTTTAAATGTCTGATGAACGGTCCATAATCAAGGGATTCAATATCGGTCGTCCATTCAAACCACTCCAAATTCGCCCCTAATCTCTCACCTATTTACAGGCCATGCCACTTCAGAAATCTATAAATAGACCTCTCATTTCTCTTGAGAAGGGGAGGAGAGCCAAAGCAAGGGGAAGCAAGAAGCAAGAGGAGAAGAGAAAAGAAGAAGGATAGGAGGAAATAAACTCCTCCTCGGTCACCGCCGAAATTCTGTCCGACTTCCATGGGACATTGGAATTTTGCCCGACTTCCAATAGACGCCGAAATTCCGTCCAAACTCCAAGTGACGCTGGAATTTCGTCCTACTTCTAAGTGACGCCGGAATGATGGAATTCTGCCCGAACTCCAAGTGACGCCGGAGTTTCACCCGAACTCCAAGTGACGCCGGAGTTTTGCCCGAATACCATCTAACGCTGGAGTTATGCTCGGCCTCCAACTTACGTCGGACTTCTACCGGACACCAGGCCTCCGCTTGTCGTCAAATTTTTACTCGACACTGGACTTCTATCTATTGTTGGACTTTCACCGAACATCTATCTGATGTTGGATTTATGTTCATTACTAGACTTCTACCTGACGCCGTCTATCTGACCTCCATCATCAGACAACGGTTCTTCTGACTAATGCCGTCCACCGACTGCAGTCCTTCTGGCCTCCGTCGCCCGCCGACAACGGTCCTTCTAACTAATGTCGCCCGCCGAATACAGTTCTTTCGGCCTCTATCGCCCGCCGACAACGGTCCCTCAGACCTTCGTCGCCAGCCGACTATGATCCTCCTGACTTACGTCGCCCACCGACTACAGTCCTTCCGACCTCCGTCGCTAGCCGACTACGACCACCGACTACAGTCCCGACTACGGTATATATGATCTCTGTCGCCCGTCGACTACAATTCTTCTGACCTCAGTCACCAGACTATGATCCTTCTGAACAAACAAATACGTCAACAGTGATTCTTTGTATTTCTACTATGTAATGTACTACATATCATGTACATCAAGCCAAGGCCTTCCCCCGAGGAAGGACCTAATTTGTAATCAATTATAATACTAGTGGATTCATTTATGCTGGGCCAGACCCCATGGGTTTTCCCCTATTCAGGGGTTTTCCACATAAAAATTTTGGTGTCTCTAATGGATGACGCACCCTCTCTTTTTATCTGATTGCGTGCCGGATTTTCGTACAATACTAAGACGTTAAACTTTATATTTCTCTACCGTCGCGAATACCCCTGGACGCAACAACTAAAAATATAAAACAACAACAACAACAACATCAAGTCTTTATCCCACTACGTGGGGTCGGCCACATGAATCCTTTTTCTCCATTGTGTCCTATTAAAACTAAAAATATAAAAGAATAAATAAAAATATTTTTCCTTGCTAAATCGATAATTTGACTAACATTTGGCATTTCCATTAGTTTGAATTACATTAAGAAGAACTTATAAATAACATGTCTACTCCCTTTTGAAAGACTTTAATGTAAACTTTTTTCATTTCCCACTAGTCTCTAGAGCACCTACTTCAAAATCTCCCATGGCTAAAGATGATACTCCTTTGATTGATGATTTTAAAGCTTTGAAGAAAATGTATTTGTGATGCCTAAAGGCCTAAATTTGAAAGATTTGTCATTTTTGTCTCTTAATTAATCTACCAGCCACTAATCTCATTTTAATGAAATAAAAACTAACGCGAGCAACTATAAATTCTTTTCTTCAATATACAAATTTATTTATGTTCTCAAAATCATATACAATAGTTATGAGTTCAATTAGTACATCATTTTATCGATCTTTACACTCTTAACTACAAAAAAAAATATATAAAAATATACAAAATAAACAAAATCTAAAAAATCACGATCCGCCTCACTCCCTTGGATCTTGACCCAATCATGAAAATATATAAAATCCATGAAGTAAACTAATAGCTTAGTTGGTCATTAAAACCTACAGCTGAAATTAATAATAGGGCTTTAACATATGAGACATTTGTAAATGCTGGTCTTCTTCATTCTCCTAGCTTTTAGATTATCTACTCTATGCAGTCAGCTGAGCTATTAAATTGGCAAATTTTATCATACTATCAAAACTCATTGGGGCCATGCACTCTCTTTATTTGGAACTTTAGATTGCTCCATTACACTCAGTATAATTTTCTTTCCGAAGAAATCAGAATTCATTCATATATATGCATGTTATGAATGCGCAAAAATAAATCTTAACAATACTCATTTCTACCCATCTCAATTAATTCATATAGCTATGGTTACAACTCAACTCTTTCAATATTCATATCTTTAATTCCAAAAAGTTGTGATGCCTCAAGACCTAAATTTGGAAGTTTTTTTTTTTTTCATTTTTGTCTCCTAATTAATTTATAGAACTACTAATCTCATTTTAAATTTTTGGGAGATTTACGTATATACCACCATATAATACTCTATTTACATATTTAACACCTAAAACTTTAAATTTACATACATACCATTCTTAGTTCATTTTCATATCAAATATGAGTGGTAAAAATGAAATATATGAGTGATTGGAAGAAAATATGAGTGGCGTATTTGATATTAAAATAATATAGAGTAGTATGTATGTAATATTAAAATTTTAGGTGTTAGATATGTAAATAGGATGGTATAAAGTGGTATGTATGTAAATTTCCCTAAATTTTTATAACAATTTGCCGCCACCGTAATATATAATTCATAAAAAAGCCTCATTAGGTTTCGCACCTCTACTAATGCCCTTGTTATAATATGATGTTGTGCGTGCCCCCATAAATCTAGACAAACAATTGTTCTAATTTAATGGTCTTCACATATTATTTTATATCATGCTATTTATATATCTAACATTTAAAACTTTAATATTTTCATAGATAATTTTAATATCAAATATATAACTCATATATTTTAATCTTACAGCTTATATTATCCTATAAATTTTAATATTTAATTTCTGGTACGTATATTTATTTTATGAAAGTTGGATATAAAATATTAAAGATTTTAGTGTTAGATAGTTAAATAAGATAGATATAAACCCTAACGGGCTGTTTGACATCGGATTGGATTTAACCGGCGAATACACCGCGAATTAGCCTGTGCGTTTCAGGCCGTGCGAATCTATTAAGCGTGAGCTTCGTGTTAATCACCGGGAAGTGGAAGCCGAGTTTCGCCGCTGTGAGATAGGTTTGGTCTGTGACATGAGCTTCCTTCTGAAGACTTTGACGACGAAGCGGGAAGTGGACACGGCGATCAGAGACACCCTCGACAAGGTACTCGTCCTCCGCTTTGGCCGCGCCTCGGTGCCCGTTTGTCTCCAGCTCGAAGACATAGTGAGTACCTCTTTTCCTACCATTATTTCCCTTTCATGATCGTTTCTTGATCCTTTGTATATAAATTCGTTATGTTTGATGCTTATGATTTTTTCGGTTACCATTCTTGTTTCTGATTGTGCGTGTGGGATTCTTTTGTTGATGGTAGGATTTTATTAAAATTGGATTTGATGAATCCTATTTTAGTAGGATTTAATACGGTTTAGCATTGAATATTCAAACTCCAATTAGGAGATTCTTAGGTATAAATCTAAATTTTCTTAACCATCTTAGCTAATAATTTTCTTTAATTTTTAAATGTGATGGTTACCAAACTTAATTCTTTATATCTATCATTTGTTGCTCTATGAAAGGGGAGTATATCAATGGATGCATGACATCCACAACAAGAAGCAACATAGAGAGGAAATGAAGAGGACGAGAGAGTGAAGGGGTGCCATTTGATTAAAAAAATGGAAATTTTCAGGTACCTATAGGGGGTAGGTTTTAGATTTCCTTAATATGGAAGAATTGTTGCTATTCTTAGTTTTAACGAAAGATAAAACCCTTGGTCATATTAGAGAGTAGTTCTTATTCAGACTCCTAAAATAGAGGGTGAAAGAGAGTAACAACAGCAACAATAAAATCTTCTTCGTGAAGTTGAGTCCCGCCCGATACATTCTCTCCCAACTACATAAAACAATATCTTTATATTTATCTTTAACTTTATATGAAGTGTAATATTTTCATGTATCTTTTTTGAAACTTAGCTAATTTTCTGATCTCTATGTAATTGTAGACGTAGATGGATCTCACTAAGCTATATAAATTTATGTTTAATGATTATAATCTTTGGTGTGCTTATTCTCTATTTTATCTAATATTACTCGAAGTTTTAACACTTGTTCAAAGGGAGACATCTGCTATTATTTCCACTTTTCCTGATATGCTATGCTAGAATTTAAGTTGGTTTACGTTTCTATGATAGAGGGTTATACATTGGAAAACAATAACGATAATTAAGAATGACATGAGCATTGTGAAAATATGATGAAAGTAAGACGATAGGATGAAATCGAAGGTTGAGGTTACATGAAGCAAATTAAGAAGCGGAGAAAATAGCAAAAAATAACTCATTATACTAAAAGTCATGTAGTTGATTGGGTATGACAATAAAAGGTTTTTTTTAGTTAATTGGGTATGATAATAAAATGTTTTTTTTGGTATCCAATTTTAGGCAGTATTTGAGCAAAGATTTGGCTTAAATCTCACCATATATATTTTAAAAGACTTTAAATCCTACTAGTTTTATGAATCCTATTTTAACCCTATTATTGGTTAAAATTAAGATTTTTTAAATCTCACCATTCACAAGATTTAGAGAGTTGGAGCTCTTTTTGATGCAAATATCAATCTCGAAACAAATAACCACACACTTTATTAGGATTTAATTATTGTCATGCCATATAATTTTTCATATTTTATTTTTCTCAAGATTTACTTAATTCAGATTTATAGATTTTACTAAATTCTACTTTTAGTCAAACAATTCGTGAGAGTAATAACATTTTGGAGAAAAAACATTATGGGTTGATTGATCTATGTCAACTAGATTGACGAAAACTCTTTCAAAGAGTAAATTGTGGCAAGGATCCTAGAGGTATGGAGCTAGTTGCAATAGTTTATTATTTGTAATATGTGAATTAGATGGTAGATAAAACAACTAAAAATAATGAAATGTTGTCAGATTTATCAAGAAAAAAAAACATTGATAAAATGGGCAATTTTTTGGCGGACATTCCACTTTTATTGGTGCTAAATTCGACAATATTCTACCGATATTATTGTCTAGAAACAATCCAGTGAAAAAAAAATATTGGTAATGCAAATTTCCTGACGAACTTCTCCTTGAAAATTATATTATATCAACCAAGAAGTCTCTTAAATTTGGCCTCTCAAGTAAGACTTGCAATGTCCATTAGTTGTCCAGCTCCTTCGTTGCCCTTGCTCCACATCACCAGAACTCCACAACGAGCCCCGCTTGCCATCGCAATTGGGTACCCCAATAATGGCTTGTTGCATCTCTCTTGCTTGAGGCAATTGCTTGTCGCATCTTGCTTTTGTTTGCCTTCATCTCCAAGCAAAGCCATCAAGGCTTCAAACTCATGGTCAATTGGTCATAGCCTTGTAGGAGGGAAATATTTAATGAATTAGTTTTGGATGATATTGAAAGAAATAATGTAAGATTCTGGAGAGGACGTGGATTTGTGAGGACAAAATTATATGATATTTTATGATTGGGATTTTTAGAGTAACGAGTGTGATGCCCAATAAGTTGTGATGGAGAAATAGGGTTTAGAGTTTAATGGGACAAGAGAGGAAGTTGTGGGAGTATTAGGATTTATTTAATAGTTTGAAATCATAGCTCATGTAATGATCTTAAATTTGCTTGATTCTTAACTTGTAGGTTTCAACCAGTTAATTATTTGTGGATGCCCCAACATTTGTTCTTTTTAGTTAACTATCATTATAATCTCTGTTGAGCTTGTAGGAGTGAAAAAACATTAATAACCTTCCTACAATTTTTCTATCTCCATAGAACCTAGAATATTCAAGCATTCTATATCTAGGCATGCCAACATTCTATTTCAATATTCTAATTATTACAACATTCCTCCGTCGAGGTTATACATCACACTAGATTTTAACTACACATATGAATACTGTATGCATTAAATGAAGAATGGGGATATTAAAATATCAATTTATCATTCAAGGTACAAGAGTCTACATTAATACTTGTTATGCTTTTCACATCATCAATCCAAAACTAGAGAATTAGCTAGACATGAAATATATAACAAGCAAACTCATTTTTATTTTATTCATTGAAAAAAAGATATAAGATAAGTAATAAGAAAATTATCACCTGAAAGGATCAAATGATCTTCTTTATACTCCTTCCTCCAACCAGTCAACCATAGACTTTCTTACACAAATCGGGTAAGATCTCCACAATGAAGTATCTTGCACTTCCCTAGCCTTCCTTAGGCTTTACTCTAAGGGAGCACTAAAGAAATACACTTAAAATTATTTAATTTTACTTAACTGACAGAACTCCCCAAACAACATAATTGGAAACAATCTATAGGAAGTACAGAGATGGGCTCAGGCGCCGCAACGCTCGACAAGGTGGCGTTGCGACTGTATAAAATGAACTAGCATCTTAGCGATGTAATGTTGGCTCCGCTGCGGTGCTGACTGACTTGGCATAGTTAATGATTGAAACGACGCATCTTGTAGCTGAGTTGATATAGCTCTTCGCGTTGGCAACTGCTCCCCTGCGACGCTTTAGAATTTGAGTGATGCGGTGCTTGAATGTGAATTTTAGCATTGAGGTGTTGCAAGGCTTGGTGCTTTGACACTCATCTTCCTGAGGCTCCAATGCCACGGTGTTGAATTTTGGCGCAACGGAGCTGTGTAACACTAACCTCAGTGATGCTCCGGCGCTTTAAAATAGAGAAATTGTCTTTGCAATGTCTGAATCTGGTGTCAGGGTGCTGTGAATGCGTATGCTGTGATGCTTATTATGATGGCGCTGCAACGCTATTTAATACTTATAGTTATTGCCTTTTCCTGTACATTTCCTGTAAACACACAATTAAAATAGTCCATTTTTACTGAATTTAAACAAAATAAATAGTATATAATTTACACTTAATAAAACTCCTTTAAATAGGCTAAAATTTTAATTCCACCAAAATTTTGATAAACTTGAAATTTGGGTTGGGAGTGCTGCAGTGCTAAGCTCTCGCGTTTACAGGATTTTGGGCCGCATTAGAATGCTGGGGTTTTGAGCACTATGATAGGTCTCAAATTTACTTTTTGTAATAAAAAATTTAAATCTATTTTATCTAAAAACCCTTGCCCACCATTTCCCTCTCCCCATTTCCTATGCATGCTGGGTGAGAGAGGAGATAAAGGGAGAGAGAGATGGAGGAGAGAGAAGAGAGAAAGCAATGTTCTGGCTAGCATTTTTCATTGCTCAGTTATAAATTGCTCTAATCATGCTAGATAACCTTAACCCTACCTTTATTTTACATAATTTTGAGTTCTGTCTATTTTCCCTCTCCCAACTTTTAAATAAAAATGCAATATCTCATATTCTAGGAATTTTTATCATGTAACTTTTGAGATATGGTAGATATAATTAACCTAAATGTTTTGATAGGTTTATCTTGAGATTTCATCGGTTGGTTTTGCATATATGCTATTTTATCTTAATTGAGTAAAGTAATACCAAGTGTGAAATAATTGAGAGTTAGTGTACTATATATGAACATGAAATACATGATATGCATAAATTTACTATTCATCTAGAGTAACATATATTTTGGCATGATACATGCATACTAATGAATATACTTGATAACTTTATATGCTATGGTCATTGCATAAGGTGTGTAGATGATATTTGTTAATTTGATATACATGACATGAAATGTGTGTAAAACTAAAAAAAGTTGCTTTGAAATGCTAATTGATTTAGGTTGGCTGAAGATATGTTACCATGTATAGGAGAACACGCCGATGGACTTTCTTTAAAATAAAGTTTATGGTATAATCCTAAGTGATATGAAAAGGGAGACATAAGGAGATTGACTGATATAATATGATACACCAATAGATAGAAAGTGCTAAATGTCCTACCTTGCTTATAACATGATTTGCATACATGTTAGGATTGCATGTTAATAGAATAAGACATGACATGATAATTACATAAAAGATATGAATATGATATAAGACATGATTAGTACAAGCATATGATAATAATGATAAAAGAGTATATTATATATATCATGGTTTAAAATTGCGCAATATGAGGCTCGCCTTAAGGCCTGCCTTTGCGCAATTCCAGTAAAAAACACCTTGATGCTTACGCCTCGAGTTTTTTTTTTATGAGGCTTGCACCTCAACTTGGTTGAGGCCCGCCTCGCCTCACTGGCATGAGGCTTACG